TATTGTAAATCGGATCATTTGTTCAAGCCCTACACACTTAATCTAGCTCGGTAAAATCTCCAACAGCCGATTACTTCGGCATTCACTTTTGCTGATATCTCTGCAAAATATCTGTTTGTTAGCTGATATCTCAGCAAAATGTTATTTGTTAGCTGAGACTCAGCAATTGTTTGACTGAATCTCAGCAAAATAAATTGCAGAATTACTCGGCTGTTGGAATCTCGGCGAAAAAATTTAAGTGTGTATGCTCTAAGTTGTTATAAAAAATATGGTTTCGAGAAAAACGCGTTTAAAGTTTTTGTAGCGTCCCTCAGCGCGCATGACAAAGGTTCACTCAAAGCGCCATAACTCGCTAAATATGTTTCGGATCGTAAAATCCTTTTGGCCACATATTCTACACACTTGTAGCTTTCATTTTATGCAAAAAAATCATTTTTTTTTTTAAAAAATCCAAGTAAACCTCCCCTTAAGGTGATTCCCTGTAGAATCCACAAATGGCCACCACGCAGGCTATACATGCACTTCCACTTCGAATTTTCAATTGCACACATCTCAATTAATGCCCCATTTCACCTGAAATTGCTACTTCATGTATGCTGCAGTTTAGCAAACGTGGAGTAACAGTTTCATTGTGGTACGTATCTTAGAAGCTGATATTTGTAGTCTCAAAGTTTCGAAGTGGCTACGAGAATAAGGATCTCACAGCGAAACACCTTAAAAGTTTCAGCTATTGGCGCAAACCGCCATGTATTGTGGACAATTTGTGGTATGTTTAAATCATGATTTAATTTTATCTCTAGTTGATACTGGCAATCACTTTGCTTACATCAGGCATTTGACCATTCACAAACTTGCCACCAGCCACCAAAAAAAAAGCTTGCTCTTAGGTACACTATTTATCGAGGTCATGGTAGTGATATCGCCATGTTTAGAAATCAATGCATTAGGGATTAGGTCCGAACTAAATTTAATGCTTCAATTGTTAAAGGCCGAAAATTTAATTAAGCCATTCTATAAAATAGTGTATACATGGTCACTAGACTGATGCATAATTTGAAATTGTCGCTCCACAGTGCTCAAACGGTTCCAAATTGGGCCCTGATTAGCCTCCCAAAATTTGAACTCATTTAGTAAGAAACTGACTTGGCACAAACCATTTGAAGTTTATATGGGAATTACTATTATTATTATTTAGCTTTATTTAGGAGGCTTTCAGCCTTAGGCTGGTTCGCCTCCACGACTGGGAATTACTATGGAGAAACCATAATTTCGGTTCATATCGATCTCAAAATTCACCAGTTCAATCTACTTTAAAAAATGATAGCTGAGTTTGTTGAAAATTTTCTCAGCTACAACTTTGTTAAAGGCCACTTTTTGATCAAATGTAAGGAACAAAAATTATTAATGATTCAAGTCACTGATGTCTTATAATTATGCTCAATCAACTGTTCAGCAGGCAACAGTGGTGATTATGGCACGTAGAATAGAGGACAAAATTCATGGCTCAATATCACACTGCAGAATACAGTGTTGCCTACAAAGCAGCTGCTTGATCTTGTCATAAGTTTACCAATCTCTTAAATAATTAATAACTTTTTCCTATTTCGTTTTACATAGAAACAATCTTCAGCAAAGTTGTAGCTGAGAAAATTTTCTTTAAGAATGGCAATTTGTTAGCAATACAATATGTAAAAAGAGTAGAAGACAATGAACAAAAAGTTTTGTTTTCCCATAGTAATTTCCATATCAACTTCAAATGGTTTGTGCCAAGTCAGTTTCTTATCAAATGAGTTTAAACTTTCGGAGGCAAATAAGGACCCAATTTGAAACCGTTTGAATACTGTGGAGCAAAAAATTCAAATTTTGCATCAGTTTAATAGTCACTTGTGGTATGAAAGTATAGCTATAATGTGACCAAAAAATCTATAAAATCTAAACGTATAATTTTATATTATTTACATCTGTGTCGTGCACAGATTACACATGTGAACGCGATGCCACTGATCTTCCTCCTTATTCATTTTAACTAATTCTGGAGTGGATTTATCTTCAGTAACCGATGGAGATGAACTAGCCAGTTGGTTAAAAATCTTCTTAATAAAGCTTTTAAAAAATCCAGTAACAACATAAACTCTAAAACTTGAATTGTTGTTTTAGAGGTCTGAATCATTTTTAGGCAGCCACATTTTTGAAACTCTGGAGCTAATAAAATCAACAAAAAAAAAATTTCAAGAATCTGCAACGAACTGAATATAAAAGACGTCGGAATGTTTTCCAAGAACCCATATTTAAAAAAAAATAAGGGCCTTGCAAAAGTTTCTCAGTTTATGAACTTTAATTGATGAATGTCTATTGAACTCCAGGGATAATTTCAAGGGAATTCAGAGGAGAATTTCAAGGGAAGAATTGTTAGGAAAACTTGAGGTGAAATCTAAGGATTCCTTTCATGTTAGTTCTGTTGAATTCCAGATGAAACGTAAGTTGAAACCTAAAGAAATTTGCTGAGTACTATTCATAGGATACTTCCAACAGAATTCTGATTAGGTCATGATTTTTTGATTTAAAAAAAAAAAATACCCGACACTTGAAATTTAAATTTTTCGAAGTCTGAAATCTCGGAAAGTTTATAAACATCTTGAAAGTTTGATGATGTTAATCTTCTCAAAATTGCGTAGTCCGAAATCTCAAATGTTATTCCGTAAATATCATTGTTTTCTAAAAGAACTTCCAAGTCAATCTATAACTTTGTAACATTCAGTCCAGCGGCAGACTCGGCCCAGTAGCATTCGGCCTAGTTCTAAGGGCACAATTTTCATGTAGGTATCTTAGAATAATTTAAAAATGCTGTGACTTTTTAAAAGCATTTCAAATTTAAGATTTAAAAAAATATCATAATTATGCGAGGGGGGGCGACACATCTAAATCTCAAGTTTAGATGCTCAATAAATCTCACACTAGTGAATCAATCTTCGAAAAATCTTCTTTCATTTATCGCGTCTACTTGCATCGCGCATCATCTTTTTGCAGGAAATCTTCAGAATCTTCATCAATCTTCTTTCTATCTACTCTGCGTGCGCGCAGCTAGCCACAGCAAAACACAATCTTTTCTACATCGTAGATAGAGTCGTCCCCCTCGTAATTATGGAACAATAATTTTCAAAATACTGAAAATTTATGTTGTTTCTCAAGTTAAGGGGGTTTTCAGTGATATCTATTGCTGTAATCAACCATGAGGATTATTCTTTTTTTTTATCATATTTAGCTTTTTTGCTTTTTATATGAAACCGGAATAAACTGAGATTTTAACTTGCTAAATCCAGTGACCGACCACCCTAAAGCTGCAAAATGTGAATGCACGTAGCTGAAATTACTACTTGTGGTTTGCTGCGGAGAGCAAATGTCTGAAATTTACAGATTTATAAACCTCGTAAATAAAGATATTTGAGCTCTTGAAGTTGCGAAGTGTGATAAGAAAAAGGACTCTGCAAGGAAACACCATAACTCGTTCCCGTCCATGGTTACTCTGGAGCACCATGCCTTTTTTGACATTGTGAGCTATAATTTTCTGAAATTTCAACCGATTTTTGTAAAAATATTATTCCAAAATCTGTACTAGTTTTTCTATTATCGGAATAAAATTCAGGCCAATATCTCAAGGCATTCCAGCAGTGGCGTCGCCTTAACCTCAATCTACCTTTGCACCAACTCTCAAAACATACACAATTGCTTCCAATGGATAGATTTCGAGTAAACTAGAAGAGTCTTTTTCAACCGATTCGAGTATGAATATGGTAATAAATCTTTCAATGGCGCACAGGTAAAAAGTGAGGTTACGCGCCGCCACTGCATTCCAGAGATAGTGGTTTTTAATATTGATTATGCCAAAACACTCTGAGTGGGAAAGGATTTATGAAGGATTTATTAAGGAAAATCGATCACCCTGGGTTCAAATTCGGAGAATCTAGAAGCAAGAACAGAGGCTCTTATGCCTAGAACTTAGAAATATCCTAATAAAACTAGAACTTGCTTCCGTGGAAAGTCCATGGGAAATCAGAAAAATCTCCCAAGAGAAGTCAGAAGTATCTTACAGGGAAACCTGAAGAATTATTCAAAGGAAAACGGAAGATTCCGGAGTAAGTCAGAATAAACCGGGAAAAGTTGTATTATTGAACCTGGAGAAGTCGGATGACACTTCCTGGAGTAGTTGGATGCAACTTCTTGAACAAGTTGAATTAAAACTGATGAAAAAAAATCATAGGGTATTGAGCATACATTTTTTATAGATATTTTTTTTATACATACAGAAAAATTGAGCGTGAGCGTGAAAGTGACCCATAGCAACAATCGCTTAAATTGACTCTAATTTTGTGAAACAGTGTTAATGTTTACTCATATTGTGTATAAAGACTATTTTATGTTTGCCCCAAAGCTCTGGTGGAGGGGAAGGGGTTGAACCCTAATTCCTCGCTGCGCCACTGAAACAGACAAAATCGGATGTCATGACAATCAACAACAAGAGATTATAATCAGAGTTCGATAGATCTTACACCGGAACACACCTCCGAGCGATGATCTACCCGAATTACGGGATTCCGTTAACACAAGCTGTGCCATCTGAAATGTCAAAAATATATAGGCAGCTCATTGCAAATAAGGCCCTTTTATGCCAATTTGGTAAATTAATGAAATGTATCTAATGTTTAGATGAAAAAGTTCGATGATCTCTATATATAATGCATATTAAGAAACACGAATGCACCGGCGCTTACCGGTCTTACTAATGACTGAATAAAAAAAAAAACGAAACATGTGCACAGAGCATCTACTCATTAGTGGGAAACGGCGGCGTAGTGAAGATGAAGATCAAAGATTGCATGCTTGTTATGGTTATCGGTTCAATGAATGGAAACATTGATAAGAATCTAAAACTACCCAAATTCCCCTACCATGGAGCATCATAGCCATAAATAATAAATGAATTCCTCTCTCTCAAATTGCAGATGATGACTGGTGATGGTAGCATGCCGGCGCACATGACAGTCGAAGGCCTCCAGCAGATGCAGATGCAGATACCTCAGGACTTCACGATGCCCCCGCCAACGACTGTTCCGCCCCATTGGGCGCTCCGAAATCCCGTGTTCCAGGTGGGACTAGATGTGAGTGCACCCCATGCTACTTACTCTTCTAGGTCTCCCCGTACTTCTCCTTCACCAATGATCCAAACCTCTCCCGTCTTCATGAACACCACCACCACCAACAGCAACCCCACCAACATCCTACCACCACCAAACAGTTCCATCCCTTTGCTGAGTCTCAGTCTCGGTCGGATGGGCTTCTGAAATACGCTACCCGCTGATATTCTTTTTCAGACTTCATTTCCTCCGCCATCTTCGTCGCCGCATCTGAGCAATCCATCGTCGCCGATCCACAGCCGTACGGCCAGTCCAACACGGATCCCGACTAGCAGTGTACAGCATCGTATCAGTCGGAATCAGCAACCGACACCGAGCGAGCAACAGCAAACCCAGCGCCAGCATCAGCCTCAGCAGCATTCGCATCCCCAAGACCATCGGGATCAGCGGGAGAACCAGCAGCAAGCGCAGCAGCAGCAGCAGTCGATGAAATCAGTTGAAGAGGTAAGTTTGACTTGGGATTTCCCATCTTGAATTGATGCTAACCTTTGACTTTTATTATTGTTTTAGTCATTACTGTTGGACCAAACAACGGCACTGACTCAGCTGCAGCAGTTGCGCAATGGTTATCGGCCGAGCCATAACACGCTGCCCCGCCAATCGAATAAGCAGAGCTATGTCAATCAGATTCAGTACCATCACCAGCAGCAACAACAACAACAGCAACAGGCGCATCAGCAGCAACAGCAGCAACAGCAACAACAGCAGTCGAGCTTCCATGGCACTAATACTGGACTGGGGATGGCGTACCCGATGAACAATCTTAGTCTGATTGACCTAACGCAAAAATCTAGCAGTGATTCTGGCAGTTCGGCTGGGGACATGTCTCCTCCGGAAACTCCCGGCTTGAATACGGCACCATCGAACAACATTGGTGGATTGATTCGAAGTAGGTCGTCCAACCTGGGTAGGATTAACGGGCGTCCGGACAAGCTACAGCAATTAGGTAGTTCTGTGATATATACTCAGACAGCAGCGCAGCAACAAGCGGCGCTTCAGTCCCAGCAGCCACAGTTCGTCGGCGGTAGTAACGATATAATGGTAACATCAGCTACACAAAATTTAATTAGTAATAGTAATAATAATAACAATACTATGAATATTAGCAATGGAAATAACAGTAGCATAGTGTCAAACGCTCTGTTGATAGGAGCCCCGACGCCAACGGCCGGAGGCGTGAACCTAGTTCTGGGCTCACAGCCACAGTTCACCGCTCCCTATCCACCATATCATACCCATACGGCGCATTTGGCAACGCGACCTGCACTCATTTCGGCTCATGCAGCAACAGCCCATCCTCCAGGTGCTGCCTTCAGAACACCAGCGGCTGCTTATCACACGATGCAACACAATGGAGAGATTCTCTATCCCTACCCGACACAGGTTGCAACCGTCGGTGGAGGTGCCCCGTTGACCTTTCTACCAACTGCTACAGCGCCGGTAGCTGTAAGTACCCAAACTTTGCAAACAATTCGGTCGGCTGGCACTTCACAGCCACCACCACAAGCACCACAGCAGCAGCAGGTTCAACCTGTCCAACAACCCCCGCTAATACAGCAAAAAGTGCCCACAGCGTATACGCCTCCTGCCGTCGTTGCTGCTGTTCCTCCCCCGCATCCACCGAGTGCAACCACGCCAACAGGGATGTACTCTGCTCAGTCTTGCTTCAATTGCGGTTCCCAGAAACACACCGGACTAGACTGCCAGGAATCTTCCATGGAGGATGCGACGCGAAATTCAGTCTACAAACTCGACTACAATGCCGCGAATGCTACCGCTCAGCAGTTGGCCGCTGCAATTGCCGCTGGTACGGTGTCGGGGACAACCCAACCTAACAGCATGGCGCTAGTAGCAGCCATGAGTGTACCATCGTCTTCGTCACCTCCCTCATCCGTTTCGGTAGCATCTCTACCATTGTCGGCGGTGTCATCTGCCGCTTCATCGGCCTCGTCCTCGTCGTCTTCGTCGTCTTCTTCTTCATCGTCTTCATCCTCTTCATCGCTAACATCCTCTTCAGTCTCGTCCTCGACGACGACACTGCCACTACAGCCACCACCACACCAACCACAACAGCACGGACCCAACCTTCTTAGCAGTAGTAGTAGTAACAATAGCCCGCTAGACGCCTCCACATCTGTATCAACACAAACAATAAATAATCAAACGGATAGCAGTAGTAGTAGCACTATTAGTAAGTGATCATCAATCTAAACTAATCTTATAAAAAGAATGAAAAAAAAACATATTCTATAAGAAGAAAAACTAATTAAAAGTAAATAGTGTACTCTGCAAAAAGGATTAAAAAAGTCTAAAAAGGTATAGGAAACAAAAATCAACATACATCCACATACACACATGCAGCAAGAGCCAGTCAGTTTAAAAGGGACACAACATATAGGCAAATAGCAGACAACAAATTGGAAAAATTTACTATTATGGTTATTGCAAACAAACAAAAACAAAAGAGAACTGACAGAGTGTGATGTTTAGTAAATGATTTAGTTTTGGCTTTCAGAACGTGCTCCTACCGGCAAATGTCTGGAATGGTTGTCTAATAATTGTAACTACACAGGAGAGAGAGAGAGAGAGAGAGAGAAAGAGTTAGAGAAAAAACGGAAACCCAATCCATTAGCGCAGGCTTTTGAGGAGATGTGTGCCATTTTTTTAATACTGTATTTTAACCCTAGACACGGAAGTATGACAAAAAAAAACACAGTTGAACAGGTGATAGTGTATGCATCAACATATGGAATAGTGGAAATTCAAACAAACCTATAACACATATTACTTGATGAAAGTGCGCAAGGATTTCTGGAGCTGAACTTTTGATAGGTAGGGGCACGAAATAGCGAAAAAAAAATCTTATTGATTAAGATCGAGCACCAACTGAGAAAGAAGCAGTCGTCAGGTTTTTCCTTGTTTCGTGTAAGACAAATCCAATAACCTTGTACTCAGAATATTTATTTTTTTTTATATATTTTCCCTTATTATTTGTATATTGCCACATTTTATACTACCAACCTGAGCTTTTTTGTTTCGTGCAGTTTTTGAGTTACTAGGGGTAACCTACTTATCATTATTATGCTATAAGGACTCTGCTCTGCGGGCAGGTAAAAAAAAAGAAGATTATAAACAGGATCACGATCAACTTTTAAAATGTTTATTTAAACTTAGTTCTGATCTAATGTAATACTGTGTAAATGTACTTGTTGATACGGTTAAGATATATGTCTTTTGTTTTATTTTGTTCCCCAGGATTTTCCCTCTTCGTCCGGATTCTGTTTTGTTTTTCGTTTCGTCGTTTACCTAACTTCTGTCGGTATGTTTTCAAAGCTAGGCTTTAAGAAATCATGAATAGGGCGTTAGCTTATTGAGGCTATACCCTGAATGAGCGATGAGTTCAATACATTTATTAATAACTTCGACATTCTCTACCTCGTACCTACGCATATGTTGATGTTGATTAGACACTTCATCCAGTGCTGCAAAGTATCATTATAAATAACATCAAAACGCTGGTTTTCACCTGATGTCAGTATCAGTTTACATAGTGCGCAAATAATATCGACATCAGAATGGAAACTTCTGAAATTGATGGTTCTGTAGCCAACATTTCTCATTTACGCCAGATAATCGCGTACTGATCTTTAAAAACTTATCAGTACTATTGAAACAATGCATTATGGGTCATACAAAATAGTTCATTTAATCACATGAAAGTAAGATTTCAAATGTCCCCCAGCGATATTCATATGGAGTGCTATATCAAAGCCGTAACGCCCGAAATCATGCTCGCTCCGAATATCAGTGTCGGAAGTGAAATTCAGTCGTTACTTTTTTTTTATCTAGTTCGCCTTACAATTAATCGCGATAGCTTCACGGAGCCGATAATTCATTGTTCATTGGTTGTAACAAAATTAACTTATTTCTATGTCTAGTAGGAGTTGGGCCGAATACTCGCGGCTTACCCGAGGTTAGAGGGGTACATTGTCGGTGGATAGGATCAGGGGATGAACTTGGGGGTGGGGTTTCGTTGTCTCATCAGAGCGTTGTCGCCTGTATGAACGGTAGTGCGGTTCTAGCTTCGTCTGGAGTTCGACCGTTTATGGGACCAGTAGGCGACGATGAGACAAACAAAAACTAATAAAGAGAAGCAAAAGACAAAGGAATTACATTCTTATACTAGACATTTGCAGAAACACATAAATCGACTGCATATAGCAGAGATCGCGGGTTGCCAACACGTCTCTGATAGGAACATAGGGTAGTCTTCCTTGGGCCTAGAGGGTATTCAAAAGTCGCTCTATGGCGGCGTCATTATCCGTTCATTGTCAAACTGCGTGATCGATGTCATCGTAACCGTTTCCACACCGACAGATGTTGCCGTCCACGAGATTTATTCTATGGAGATGTGCATCTAGCGAGTCATTCGTTACTTGACTGGGATAAGATTTGAACTCATGGCCATCAGTGTCCCATTCCCATTCCTCCCATTGTCAGTAGGTATTACCCGTTCCGTTTTATTATTTAGCAGGCCGTTAAAAATTAATCATTGATTAATGATTAACTGTTAATCATAAGCTTTTAGCATGAATTTTAAGACATTTATCACTAATCACAATGAGGTGATTGATTAAAAAGAATTATGATTAACAATTAATGTCTTGAAAATTCATATTTAATTAATCATTAAAAACCATTGTCATGTTATTTACACGAAAACGGATTATTTTAGGCATAGTGCACTTGATTTAGCTCGTTCTTTTGAACTTATCTTTTTCACGATTATGCTAAAAAAAATTACAGTCACGAGATAGCAAAATGGTGTCTTGAGCAAAGTTTTAGATAATATTAAAACAATAATTATACATAGTTGGAGACAGGCTTGCTTCCACTCACTTGCTATAAAAACATGATTTTCTGAATTTTTAAATCATTAGATGTTATTATCATATTTTGTACTTGTTAGATACAAGAAGAGGTTGAAAGGCAAGTGCTTGACACATGAAACCTGTCAAATTCGCTTTCATATAGTCACAATCAGCGATTTTACGACTCGCGAGCGATCACTGAGTGAACGCTCACGAATCATAAAATCGCTGATTGTAACACTCTGATAGCGAAATTGACAGGTTTTATGAGTCAAACACTTGCCTTACAACCTCTTCTTGTATCTAACAAGCAGCGTTACTTCCACTCACTTGCTATAAAAAATTGTTTTTCAGAATTATGAAATCATTAGATGTTATAATGATAATTCTTATTTGTAAGTTACAATAACTGGTCGCGAAGTATGTGTTTGACACATAAAATCTGTCAAAATTGCTTTCAGTGCGTCACAATCAGCGATTTTACGATTCGTGAGCGCTCACTCTAATAGCGAATTCGTTTATTATCGGGGTTGGAACCAGTTCCAACGCAGTGCGAAACCGAACTTTTTGTCAGTGCGAACCTCAACCTGAGCTGGGTTTTAGAAACAAACGATCGAACTGACGTTTGTCAGAAAACAAGCCGGCCCAATCTTGATACCCGATCCAGGTTGGAACTGAATAATAAACGAATTCGCTATAATTGAATGCTCAAGAATCATAAGATCGCTGATTGTGATGATCTGAAACCAAAATTGACAGGTTTTATGAGTCAAACACATACTTTACACCCTCTTCTTGTTACTTACAAGTAGAACATACCATTATATTAGCTAATGATTTCATTATTCCGAAAAGCAATGTTTATAGCAAGTGAGTGGAAGCAACCCTGAATAGTAGGAAGCGAGCAAAGGACAATTTTGAGGAATGCACGAGTCGGGTTGATCATCTTTATCAAACTCCCCTGTTGGGAAGGAATGGTGAGGGGTATCTCCCCCGCCACCACTGGCAAAAGGGATGATCGCCGATTTGCTCACGTACCTTCGATGTGCGGAAACAGTTCTATCGATTATTTCACATTCAAATCGTCCCATGTCGTAAGCATCTAGTCGATAGGTTTGGTTTGATCACAGACAAACAGACGTAACTCTTTGAAAACGTTTTTCTTGAAAACATAGTATCTCAAAACATAGGACCTCAGTAACGACATCTCTCTGGCTTATCGCGGAAAACAAGCTTGCTCGCTAACTCGCAAACAATATTGCATAAAAGTTCTATAGAATGTATAGAAACGTCAAAGTGATCCGATGCCAGCGCTGCGACGAGTAGTTCGCGGAACTGATAATATTTAAATCAACCGTTAAATGCGTGAACGAAGATACACAACGAAGTGTTACGTCTGTTTGTCTGTGGTTTGATCATTTTTGCAAGATAGTTAAACCATAGATATAACTTTAAGACCAGAACGTCCCAAAGAAACGTGCTCAACTTTTTGGCTCAGCTCTGGTACTATCTTCGGTCCCAAGCTAATCGATTCACCCCTCGAAACATAGGAAAATTCACGAACCCCTCATTTTATCTGTCAAACTTTCATAGCGAATCAAAACAAACATAGTGTAGTACTAGAATTTCGTCTAGAATGGGGTACGTTAATCTATTTGCTTGGAACCAATAGGCTGGTCAAGTAGTGAGCAAATTTAAAATCGATAGTTTTGTATTTATTGTTGGTTAAACTCTCTATCTCCTACAGTTTTTGAGATATATATGATTTTTGTATGGTGACTTCTAAAAATCTATGCTTTTCAATAACTTAAATTTTAAAGATTCGTCATTATCTCTTTGGAAGTAAGTTTCTATCTTTTGTATTTTATGAGCTATTATTGGGTTTAACCCGAAAATAGCACTTTTTCTAATACCAAAACTCGTAGTCGGGCAAAATCGGGCAGACCAAACTTATTGCATTTTAAAGAAGTACTAAAGTGCTGCCAATCCACAAAAAAATATTAATTTTCAATAGTTGTCTCCACCGATATGCTTATTGTAAAACTAAAAGAATATTGCATTGGAAACCATTAGTTTTGTTTGACCGGTTTTACCCGACTTCGAGTTGTTGGTCGCAGAAAAATTTGCTATTTTTGGGACAAAATTATAAATAGTTCATTAAATATAAACGATGGAAACTTACTTCTTATGACATAATAACGTATCTTTATAATACAAAAAAGTTGTAGAACATTTCGAAGACGGGAAATTGCTACAAGAAAAGTTATTAACAAAACATTGATTTTTAGAAGTCTTCTTCCAAAATTCTTACATATCTAAAATCTGTAAGAATTGATGTCTTCTGCATAAATGCTATTTTTAATAATATCTAAAACTTTGCTCTAGACTCCATTTTGCTCTCACGACTTACATAAACAAAAAGTTTTTTTACATCTCCCTGCTGAGTGGATTAATCATGAAAATGTTAAGTTCAAAAGAACGAGCTGATCATGCACACAAACTTCTCCAAAGACAATGTGTGTTTAAAATAATCCGTTTTCTCGTAAATAATAAAAAGTAAGTTTCAGCGCCAGTAATCCACTGTGTGGCGGGGCGGGGCGGGTTCGATTCCCGGTTCAATCTTTCGCGTTGGTAATTTGGTCATCTTCCCAAGACATAAAGTATCGTTATGTTTGCCACACAATATACAAACATAAATGTAGGCACTGGTTGGCATCCAATTTGGTTTTCATACATTGGTGCTTATTACGGATGTCACTTGTGGTGAAAACTTGTCACTTGTCGTCAAGGTGAAGTGATTCCCATTTGATTTGTACGGCAATCACGGCTTTTATTATGAGTATCACTTCCTTATCACCGTGTAGTGACACCCGTAATAAGGCCCATCATCTGAAAAAGCTTCGTTTGCTGAGCACAACGATATTTTTTTCAAACCCATAAACTTCCATCTCGATTTTTAATTCAAGATTTAAAGCAAAATCATAACTTCACTGTTTGACACTAAACTAATAAACTGACAGCTCGCTTCCATACAAAGTAATTACATTTATTTAAAATAGTTCCAGTGTGCCAAAATTGATAAAATTTGGAATTTTGGTTCCGCAGATTATGAATATGCATTTACTTCGAAACCTTAAACATCTCAATTAATAACTGGAAGTGCTCAAAGTCAAATGTTCAAGAAAATGATCATCCAATATAATTTATTTGTCAAAACATCTGGAATTTGACTTCATAGTTACGAGATTTTGAGGATCGAGCATAAATCGGCAGGTCCATAAGTCCGGAAAATTTAAGTAAATTTGTTCATTTTGCCGGATTTGCCCCACATACTGGAAAAAAAACTGGATACAAT